TCTCGAAGCTTCTTATATTAATCTACTTATAATATTTTTTAGATCGGTTATACGGCACATTTAGGCATTTAGCTGGTGCTATTTCTGGTCTACTTGTTGAAGTATTCACGTTACGAAATCTTATAACGTCCGTCCGTGAGAAAAAAAATTATGTTACAGATCGTGTTTTGTCATTTTGAGTTGTTGACAGGCTCAGGTGTGACGTGGAATTTAATGTTTCCTGAATTTTTTCCAAAAGAACAATATTATAAAAGTTCAAATTATTATTGAAGTTGAAAATGTTGGATCAATTTTAGTACACAAATCGTTTGTATTATAAACATCAATATTTTATTTAACAGATCTAATTTCACCAAAGTTATGAACTTAGTTACTTAATATTGTGTTTATTATATCAGTGGAATATAAAGTTAATGAGTGATATATCAACTCAATTTGTTTTATATATTTTTTTTAAAACATGCATTGCATTGCAACATATTTTTTCTATCACAAAATTGCACTATTTAGGTACTATTATATTTTGTACAAACAAATTTAGTATTCGTTTTTCATATAAAATATGTATTGTACTTTTATTTGATCTAATTATTTATTTTTTTAAATTATGTTTATTTATTAACAGCATATTATACATATTATACTTGTATGACAATAATATTTTTATTTAGAGCTAAATCAAAATCATAATAATATGTACATTATACCTAATATTTTGTAAGTCAATTAAATTTTGTTCAATATTATTCATTCTTTAGAATAATTTTTATACTCTGCACGATCTCTATTAGTAAAATCTGTGTCAGAATACCTATAGTTTTTATTAAAGTTGTGTTTAATTTGATAGTTTTATCTTGTACGTATGAGTAGGTAAGAGTGGCGCCGAAGTCCATGCTGACCTCTTTTTTGAAAAATATGGCCGACCGGCCATATTTAATTTACATCATAACTTTATTATAAGCATGAGTAAATTTAAACCGTGATTATGAATAAATGTATGTTAGGGTACCTCTATATTAAATAATTAAGATATTGAGGCCGGGAAGTTTTAAAATTGCCCGACCACATTTTAAAAACTTCGGCGCCACTGATTAGGTATACAACTAGGCATAGTTATAGTGTTATCTGATAATCATGTAATCAGGTATTTGTATATTAACGTTTTGACAAAAGGTTGAAGGGAAATATTTATTACTTATTAGTAATAAATAATAATTACATGGTATTTTAATCTTTTTATCTACAATAATGACTCCTGGTCTTTCCGATGCCATATAATTAGATAGGTATCATCACAGTAGTACTAGTTTTGGACAGTATGGCTCATCTCCTTCACTTCCTGAGTTCATACTGAAATCACATGTAAATATTATGTAATATTTATAAGATAGGTTATACAAAGTATAGGTTAAAAAAAAAATGGGGGAAAAATGTCCACATAAAAATATATCATGGGAGAAATGCCGCTATCCCCCAACCGGACATGGCAGATACCTACGGGTGCCCACTAAAAAATAAAGCTAAATCGTCGCTAAATAAAACGAAGCTAAATAAATTTAATATTTGGAACTAATTCACTTAAGCTAACCAGCATTTTTTTTTGCAAATTTTGAAATATTTTTACATATATTTAATTAAAAACCATATAGGCGTGCGTAGGGGGTATGTACCCTGAAGCTCTTTGAGGGGTGAAATTCGACTCTGGAAAATAATCTTTTTTGAGCTAGAAAAATAATTAGTTAATCATTAATATACATTTTCTTTCTATATCTCTAATATCTAAGTATATCTATGTATAACCCTTTATTTATAAAATAATTTTATCTTATATTAATTATTTCAATTAATTCAATTTAACTGATACATCCGGGCATCGGATGCATCGAAATTTAGGCAGGCCAATATGATACGGCGAAAAATAGGGCCGCCAATACATTACTCTGCGATACCTCAAATTGAGCAGCTGGTAAAATTGTATGTATACAATACATTTTAAGTTACCTGTTCACGTTAGTTGTCAACGATGAACTAATGTGAACCTCTCGCGTCTGTTTTATTGTGTTATTATTATGTATTATTTTGTATTATTTTATGGTAGTAACGTTGTTACAGCTGTTTCATCATCTTCACGACATTTCCATGTAATGTAGCGTTCCACTACACACCCTACCGATATTCTATCTTCGGAACAATGTTTTATTGTGGTAATATAATATAATATAAACACAACAAACAACAACAACAACAATCTCGCCGGCTCCATGTTCGATGTCCGTGATCGTAATGAAGGCTCGACCCCTAAGCACAAGTCGGCCTATCGTTGCGTCGCACCGAGTCTCCACCAATCAGCACGTCAGAAAAGGGTAACGCTCGAAAAGCCTAAGTGGAAAAGTCTGAACGCCACATAAGATGTTTTCACATCAAAAACTCTTTAAAATCAACTTAATATTCCAGACATTGTAGAACTGCACAATACCAAAACTATATTTTTCACTTTTTTTTTGTAAATGAATAATACAGATAATCCATCTAAAACAGTAAAACGATTATCTTATACAGATTACAGTTATACTTACACCTTATCCTACAACTAGAGACTATATGAAAATATATTAAATATATTACCTATATAATATATTAAATATAAAACATAAATATATATATTTTATATTTTTTTTCATATAGTCTGTGGTACAACGTAACACATGACGTCCTGCGTGTGAATGACAAATATTGATTATGTTAAATTTTCAAAGTACAGTATTTTTCTATAATCGTTGTATAGGTGCGTCTAAGACACTAAAATGGGTGGTAATCAATACCTATAGTACGGTACATGATTGTATACCAAAACACCGTAGGGTATGTCATAATATATAATAGGAATCTGTTCCTTATATCCTATCGGATTACCAACAGGCACGGTTATCTGGATAACCGATCTAACAGACAATGACCAGCTATGCGTATGATATTATGTGTTGTTAAACTTATACAGACTTTCATTTTTAAATTTACGATTGTATTATAGATACGTACCGGTGGCATGCTCAGGTTTTTTGAAATTGGGAGGGGATAAGAATTGTAGACTATTCTCGCACTTTTCAGACCACGTTGAATACTAAATACCTATACTTTCATTAATTTATCATATTATATTTTGTAAGACAATAATAAGCGGAAGTAGTGGATATGACATCCCATGTTGAGCGTGTATGAAGAGAAAGACGACCGATGCGGGTGTGAGTGTGTGACACTGTGGCGTCCTCTTGATGATTTATTTTAGTAAATTGCGACCGTATTTATTTTTTCATCCAAAGTATTGGATGGTGGTGAATATTGCTTTTGACTTTATAGTTTATACTTTGAATCCAAGTTTTTCGAGTACCTACTTAAATTACACGTGTAATTATCGACGTAGTTCTGTTTTTTAATAGTCGGTATTTTCTTTAAAATGTACATCATTTAAACAGACAACATTTCATGTTCTATACATTAATATTTAATAATGGAGGATCTATATAATATGGAGGCGTTTTACTCTTCCTTACAATATTTTTTGGTTTATAACATTTTACTATCAAGCCAGGTTCACAGCTGAATCGTCTGTCGTGTCGTTTTCCTTTTATAGTATTTTGATTAGACCCTATAACTACGAACTACCGGGAAATTTCCAGAGTTCGGCCGAACTCAACTTTTGAACATGACACTACACTACACTACATGGCAGATGGTAACGTAGCTGTCTACCCGACTTTACGTTATATGAAGTAGATTTAATCAAGTATTGTATGAAAATACTTGAAAATAAAAAAAAACTGTTTCCTTATAATATTATTTCATTGTATATAATAATAATAAATTAATTTGACTACGCTACAACATTTCAATGACACAAAAGTTGTATGGTAATAATTTATTATATTTGTATAATCACAATGGGTACAACAATAACAGATATTAGGACAAAAATGTTACCAGAATACCAGATACAGGCACACATTGGCATCGGATAGGTATTATAGTCATTACAAAATAGATAGGTATCATCACAGTTTTTTGGATACGCATCCTCCGTTCTTTACTCTACCTATATAGTAGTTACCCACTTCTTATTAGCTGTCACATGCCAATCATATTATAGGTACATACATGTGGAAAATAGAATAAAAATCAACCAATCAGAAGTGGAGAACTACGACATGGACCGGAGGTGAAGGATATGTGCATACTGATAAAAATCATTATATCTGTGATGATACCATTGATACCTACATCTATTTTGTCATGGGTATATAGGTACTATCTTTAGCCATTTACTACACACACACACACACACATGAAACGCAACTTATGTTTAAATAAGATTACATTCTTGGCATACATAATATTCCGCTTGGAGGCGAACCCAAAAGCGCAACTAGGATCAATTTTTTGGGGGGATCTGTATAGGATGTAGCCTTCATAATATATTTGCAAATGGCTTGTAATAAATACAAATGTACATCAATATTTGTTCAATATGATTCACCAAGCATGTACAACTCCAGTTAATTGTTTTATAATGTGCTTATTAAAATATTTAAATTCTGATTGTTGGAGTTTTTAAATATAGGTAGGTACTTATAGTGACCATGTTTTTAATATTATTTAGATTTATAAGCACAACATCAGCTTAATAGCTAATAGGTAATTTACAGTAAAAAAGTTTGTTTCTCATATTTTGAAAAAAAAAATGAAGCTGGTATAATATTGCCACACGAGTACACGACACTGATTACATAGTATACAACAAATCTAAGCATTAGCCAAATTTGAGAAACAGTCTTGCAGCATACTCGCGGTTCTCAGCCAATTTGTATGACTCATCGAAGAGAACATTTTTCGCGGCTGTCCATCCAATATACCTATCACATTCGGGGAGGGGGTTAACTATTAAGCCCCCGACACCATGCCCTCACCTAGTTGCACCAATGAGCGAACGGACAATACGTCGCCCCTCAATAATACTCACCGGCGACGCCGTTTCGGCCGCCGGCGATCGCCACTGACTCGTCTGCCGCGTAACCGACGAGCTCGTCGCGCAGGTCGTCGCCGTCCACGTCCTTGAGGCTGCTGTTGCTGATAACGGTCCAGTTGCTGAGCGCTATCGCCGGCGGCACTTTCACCAGACGCGGTCCCCGCGGTCCACCGAGCGGCGCGGACGTAGTAGAGCTTTCATCGTCGTCGTCGGGGCCACGGCCGCCACTACCTCCGCCGCCACTTCCCGCGCTGTAACAGCTGCTGCCTTTGTGTCGTTTGGCATTTCCGCCCTCCGCCGAGCCCGTCAGCGCTCTCCGCCAACAGTCGGCGAGTCCGGCGCCGGGGACGTGATGACTGTCGCCACTGCAAACGACTTCGTCGTCGTCGTCGGCGGGTAGCTCGACGGACGATGTCGCCCGCCCGGACACGCGCCTATACTTTGGTCGGCGGTCGTCGGTCGCCGGTTCGGACGAGTCGCTGCGCAGCCTCCTCCGCGCCCACCGCGACGGACGCCGTTGACCGCTTCCGGTCCATCCGTCGTCACTACTGCAGCCGCTGTCGCCACCACAACACCGTAACACCGTTTCCTGTCGGTACACAACAAAAAACACTGTTTCTCTGTTAACATCGCAAGTACAAGTGAACGGAACCGATTGATATAACAACTCTGCATACACGCGTGCGCATATAACGATACAACATAATTTAGAGCTACGTGAGATGCACTCGAGAGGACCCGTGCTCGAATTGTGGGGGGGGGGAGCTCCACTACTATTTTTATTTTTTCTGTGTGCCGTCCCAAATAATTTTTTTTTACTTGGACGGCATGATGGTACAAACTATAATGCCCGAAATAATTGTTATTAAAATGTGAATTTGAATAATTGTTGTGAATGATATAATATAATTATACCCAATCGTTGGATTGAGCTCCTCTACCTGGTTTTTCCCAATTCGAGCACTGGTCAGAGGACGCTACCCGTGCACTTTCCGTCTTACAAACGCATAAAACATGCGGGTGTATCAAATAATACGAGTCCAGCTGAACCGATTTTGTGTTGTTAATCATTGGTTTTTTTTAATCGGTGGACCCCCCCCCCCCCCCTTGGGCTTCTCGCCGCCACATGCGGACCACCCCATGGAAGGGGTTGAACGTCATTACCTCTGTGGATTTGAAATTTACCCACCCTAAGAACTAGGATATATCCACCACTGTGATATATCTATATATAATGTATAGAGGGTAACCCGGGGAGGTAATCATATTTACCCAAGAGTCTGTTTGGTTAAGCTCTTACAAGTTGAATATATATATTTAAATTATGCCATGCTACAGTACATCATAATAAAATCTATATATATATAAAAATGAATGTTCGTCTAACCTGTCTATGTATGTGTCCTTTATGCATTCCTAAACGGCTTTACTGATGTTGATGAAATTTGGTACAGAGATAAATTAGACTTCTGAGCAGAAGATAGGCTAATTTAAAAAGGGAGAGGACCGACCCCGGAAAACAGGGATTTTGAGATTTCCAATGGAAATTGTTGATTATAAATAGTTTAAAGTTGCCATGGTTGGCGTAGTATTATAAAATAAAATATATTATTCATATAAAGTTGTCATTTTTAATTGGTAAAGAAGTGAACGGGTCAGCTAGTTTATAATAATAATATATAGTGTGTTGAAATATATTGTAGAAATCAGTTAGAATGCCACTCAACGATTAAAAACATTTAAAAAAAGGTGCTCTGCAGTACAGTAGGTTACAAGTGGGTCACTGTATATCATCCATTGATGGTATTAAATTTGAATTCAATGATATAATATCATTGTATAAGAAAAACAGTTCTGAGCGGAGACGGTATGTCAGTCAAGGTATAGGATATATTATATAGGTAACTACTTATCTATGGTATTAAAAAAATTGACCTATAATAGGTACCTGTAATAAATTCCAAATTAATCATATCACAATATCCATTAGGCACTTATAAAGGGTTGTACATCAACAACAAACCATGATACTATCATAGATATATAATAGTACACTTTAGAAGTTCAAGTACCCACGAATAATATTATACAATCACAACAAAACAACTAAAATAGTAAAGTTATTCTATTGTTTTTTAATATGTAATTTCGTCCAAATTGGAACTTTAAAATGACTATAAAAATAAACTGTGCTTATTTATTTTTTGGATTTTTTGATAACAGAATTAACTACTTACGTGAAATCTTTTTATAAATTTTCAATTCCTTAGATATAAAAGTTGAACATTTTATAAATTTTTAACTACAAAATAATTATTCAATTTTAAATTTGTTAAATTTTGTCAAAATTCGATCTTTAAATGCTTATAAAAAAAAATTGTGCCTATGTATTTTTAATATTTCTTAACTGATATTGAAACAATATATCAGGAGTCTTGTATTAAATGTTTACACTTTTTGGCCCAACAGATAAAATTTTATTGATATTTATAGAAAAAAAACTTTAAAAATTGAAACTGAAAAGGTTCCCTAAACAGCTTAAAAAGAGTCAAAATATTTTCATTGTATGGTGTATAGGAAATGCTAATATAAACATTCAGTGAAATTTTCATGTATCTACAGTTATTTGTTTTTGAATTACAACAAAATAAGGAAATCGCTACATGAGAAATCGAGTGAATATCCAATTTTGTAAAAATTTGAATTTCAAAAGCTCATAAAAATTTAATTTGACTTTCCTTTAGAGATTTTTTTTTTATAGAGGTAAACAAACTTGTGAGTAATCTTGTATAACATTTTCAAATCTTAGATTTAAAATGAAATATTTTTACGAATTCTTAACTCAAAATAAATTTTTAAATGCTTATTAAAAAAAACTGTGACTAAGGATTTTTAATATTTTTCATCTGCCTTTGAAACAATATACTAGGAGCCTTTTATTACATTTTCAAGCTTTTTTTACCAACAAATACAATTTAATTGATATTTTTTGAAAAAAAACTAAAAAAAAATTGGAAAATGAAAATGTCCCTAAGCAGTTGTAAAATAAATCAAAATATTTTTATAATGTTATCGTGTATAGAAAATGCAAATATAAACATCCTTTGTTTTAAAGTTAGGTACATCAAAAACCAAATTCAATTTTGTGAAAAATCGATTTTGAATAAAAATTCCAGTTTTTCCTTAATTTTTCTTTTGTTTTTCTTGGCGCTTTTGAAAATTACTGGGAATTTTAAATTTCAATCTGCCCAATGCACTAATGATATTCACTTTCCGACGAACAAGATACTGAAGTGGAAAATCGAAGCATTATTTCGACTACTTATCGTGTACACAGACACAAAAATAAAAAATAAAAAACACTCATCATTGTAAAATCAATACATTCATCGTTCCACTCAAAATCTAAAACTGTATTATTAATAGCCCCACAATTTTTTTATTTAAAACATTTTTTTTTTTACCCGTGTGATTATATATTATTTTATAACATTGAAAGAAATTTTAATTTATTTGATGACTGCTGTTTGTTAATTTTAAGTTCAATTCCCAGAATATGAGTTAATATCGACAATAATTAGTGGGGATCATCGACATATTCAGCTCAACTATAGACTATACGTCAAAACCGTCAGTTTATTAGTCAGTGTTAGTTATTTCATTGGTAATTTTTCTATTATTTTATACATTTTACAATTGGTAAAGGACTAAAGGAGTAATATTGAGATTTACGGATTTTAAAAATCGTTACACTTGACATAATTGCGAGGTCGAGGTTGTAATATTTTAGTCTTAAGTACAATATGATAATATTATAGTCTTTTAGAGTGATCACTGTTGTAGGTAGCAAAGATTGATGGATTTAAACAAGAATATATTATAATATATATTTATATATTATGCTAAGCGGTAGAGCTACTGTGGTCCGGAAATGTCCTCGCACAGGAGACAAAAGAATAACGTTGATTATCTGTATAATATATTTATGTAAATTTAATACGATCATCAGTTGACCGACATCTCTTATATAGTTATATACAATAAACCTCGTCGTCAAGCATATAAACACATCGTTCCATGCATATTTATTTTGTAAAATCATGGCACTAGGTAAGTGTCCCCAACCAAAAATTCTATCGAGTAAAAGCTGCTGTAAAATGTCAGTGCACAGAGGCAGTATTACTGCAGTGTTTCGCAGTGAATTAAAATTTAATCTATTCTGTAGTTGTAGTCCCACAATTGATGATACCTAGGTATGTGTGCGCGTCTATATTATATCACTCGTTCTACATTGTTCTTTAAAAATGAATTCTAAAAATAATTACATTTTTTCATGCCAAACGTTAAAACAATCGAAATATTAATGCACCTTTATAGATTTACCTAGCGTGTTTTTCTTTGAGTTCAACCCTCTTCAATCAAATAAAAATCGTTGTTGACGGACAATTTCATATTTCAATGTTTTATTTTTTTTTTCTGTGAATATCAATAACGTTTTATCTGTTGGGCCAAAAAGTGTAAAAATTTAATACAAGGCTCCTGCAGATATATTGTTACAATTGCAGTTGAAAAATAGGTACTAAAAATAAATAGGCACAATTTTTTTTTTTAGAAGCATTTAAAGATCGAATTTTGGCAAAATTTATCAAATTTAAAATTCAATAATTATTCTGTAGTTAAAAATGTATAAATTGAACTATTATATCTAAAGATAGAAAATTTAAAACAAGATTCCACGTAAGTAGTTTATTCTGTTACCAACAAATCTGAAAAATACATAGACACAGTTTATTTTTATAGTCATTTTAAGTTTAAATTTGGACGAAATTACATAATAAAAAACCTAGAATAACTTTTTTTTTTTGTGATTTTATAATATTATTCGTGGGTACTTGAAACTTCTAAAGTAGGTACACTATTATATATCTATGATAGTATCACAGTTTGTTGTTGATGTATAACGCTTTATAAGTACCTCATGGATATTGTGATATGATTAATTTGGAATTTATTATAGGTAATAATTATAGGTCAATTTTTTTTAATACCGCATAGATAAGTATATAATATGTCCTATATACCTAGACTGATATATACCGTCTCCACTCAGAATCGTTTTTCTTATACAATGATATTATATCATTTAATACAAATTTAATACCATCCTTTATACAGTGCAGATCCACTTGTAACTTACAGCAGAGCGACATCCACTTGCCCACCTTTTTTTATAATTATTGCACCGATATCGTTTCACCTAAATAACATAAAAGATTTGATTTATCTGCTAGATTATCAACTACCGAGCAAGGTTTTCAAAAACTTACGAAAATGTTAAAACAAATCACCAATCAACGTCACAACAAAATTATAGCTAAAGACGATTTAAATTCCTGTACCAATTTTATGTAAATACAAGTGTATAAGTGTACAACCAAATATCTGACACTACCTCTATAATTTAAATTATACTATTTCCGACCAAACTTATTCACAAGCTACCCATAAACACCAAACATTCTTCCAATAGATACAATTAATAGTATATAGGTATAAGTACAATAAAACATAACATTTACTGTTAAATTA